TCATTTTTGCCATATGGATATCATGTATCCAGTACAAGTGATGACTTAAATTTTTTTGAGTTTGGTTCCTACAATATGTTTGGGTTGAAGGAATTAAAAGGAGGAAAAAGGAAGAAATCAAATTACAAATGATAAGAATAAATTAGATAATTATTATGAAATAATGTACTATTAAATAGGACAATTAACCTACAACAGCTAGTTTGATCAAGTCCTTAATGAAATAAATTCAATTTATAAAATATATTATTTTATTTTTTATTAAAATATTTAAGTTCCAATAATTCCCCCACTATTTTAATAAAAAATAAACATTCTTTTAGACAAAGATGGATTAGTATGTATAATAAAGGTAGTTAAGTCTTGAATTTTTACTTAGTGAGTTAATAATTCTTAATTCAAAGTTAATAGTGAATTAAGTTTTGAACCATAACTCCATTGAAAGATACAAGAGTCGTATCACACACATAATTATCTAAATGTTGAGTTTTTCACATAGCTAACGCATTATGGCCTTCCACATGATCTTGGTTCTCATGGGTGATATAGAAAATTGCCCATTCAAGTTTTATAGAAGCAGCCTCACTTCGACACCCATAAAAGTGAAATTTGTTAATGGTGCTTCCATAACTAAGACAGCCCACTTAGTGAGTTACTAATTTCATTAGGAGTATAAAACTCAATCCTCAATTTGTTATGGGATAGATGCATCCTCACCTTAAAAATGAGATTAAAAATTTTTTCCATAAAATATTGATGCATCTTTCAATAATGACTTCTCTATAATTCATTTTTCCCATTCAAAACCCAATTCTTAGAATTCGGATTGGGTATCCTCATAAGAAGTTCTATACTATTATGTTTGAATCCTATTTCTCTCGATGAGCACTAGACTTTAGAGTATGATCATAATTTTTCCTCCAACTTTTGATTTTACCAAAGACCTAGTTGGTGGTATAGTGGAAAACAAAGAGACTTAACTCATTCTTTTTCTCACTTTTCCTTTTCACATCAACCCACATGTCGACAATCTCATAAAATTTACATTTATATTTCTCAAATTCTCAATTCATGGTACCACAATTTTTGATATCAAATCAAGCTAGTGAACCACCTTTTTCTTTCTATATATGTTGAGACATGTATTTAAGAATTTTTAACTCAAACACCATTGTACCTTGTTGCATAATAGGAATACGTTCATCATAGCATATCCCTTTTATTCAAGTGAAGTACCTTATTCTTTTTCATCATACACCATTATACCACAGTTATATAATAGAAATGCTATGCAAAATTTTAATTAGGCATCATTGATCTCATCATCAATAGTAATACATAAGGATATGACAATCCCCACATTGGGAGTATGTCAAATATGTGATTATCACATTTATCAAATAATTGAGTTTATAGAAAAACTCTTTTTCTCACGAGATTTCATAAGATTATGTTGGCTCATCTCACACTTTATCACCACAAGTGGTTCCTCGATCATGCAAGCTTAAAAAAATTACTTACATTTCTAGAATATTCCAACTTAAATTTCATGTCCATTTTTTTTTTCCAAAATTTTGTGTGGTCCAATTTGGGTAACTCTCTTCTATAACCTTTTTACTTGGATTCGCAAAATTTTCACACAAGATTGCATATGTTTCAATTTTGTTTTGCAAATTGAATTGCCTTAAAATTGTTGTTCCTTGAACATTCTTCTTTATCTTTACATCATGTCATTGTTGTACCTCAGTCACAAAATTAAATAAAATAATAATTAGTGAACTTATCAGAAAATATCAATAATAAAATAT